CCAGCAGGCTGTCTCGCATGTGTTCAGGGAGACGAACCATTGCCAGGCCAAAAGGTGTTCTACGCACAAGATCGGGTTCCATGATGTCCCGACTCACTATGGCCAAACCTGGCCCAAAAAGGGTATTGCGGGTGTGCGGAGCACTAACACATGAAAAGAGCAAGCTGAGAGAACAAACACAGAAAAACAAGGGGAAACCGTCAGAGTTGCAACAGGACCAGAACTAAGTGCAAGCCACGAGTACATCAGTCACATCAGCGTAATGGGCGAAGCCCGAAAGGATACCAATGACATTAAACCAAGGAAAAACCTGTAGTGTTCACATAGCAACATGCCGTAAATGACACTGAGGCAGCCACATGCAGGTTTCCCTTTTTCGCTGTGTGAGCTGGCATCCCAGCGGTCTGGCCCCTGTCTTGGCCCTTGTCGTGGTGCGCAACCAATGCTATTCATACAAAAAAGGAAGGTGTCTGCAGAACCGAGTGGTGACGTTGGTGCAAGACGCTACCAGGCCACCAGGTCAGTAAAACAGCCCCTCGCAAACACTCAGCTCTCAGGCCGGCTGGACTCTGCTCGCTGCCAGCGCATTGATCTTCTGGAGGCCCTCGAGGTCCGGGTTGCTCAAAAGGACCGACCAAATGGCGTTGGAAACATTGCCATTTCCATTCTGGCAGGAAAACTTCAAGCGCTGGGTGTGGTCAGGGTCCACTTCCAAGGCCACATCTCGCGGGGCCGCAGTCGGCTCCACTCGCTTGTAATACTCAAGCCTGGACTTCACCCAGCTGTTGTACGTCCAAAATCAATTGGAGGTTGACTTTGGCTCCCCGGTGCTCTCCAATCAATTGGACAAAGCGGGAAGCTCCTTTCCCTTGTCGCCAAAAGCCCTGGCAGGCCTTGCAAACCCAGCCTCCACGAGTCACTCCAGCCTCTTTCGTCTTCAGTTCCCAGGGACTGATACTGCTGAGGATGAGCCCGCAATCGGTGCGGCCCCAAAAGGCATGGACTCCACGGTGGCCATAGTGCTCCCGCTTGTACTTGGGGCTGCATATGGAGACCACATTTTCCACGGAGAGCTCGGGGTACTTACCGGTGCCCGAAGCTACCGTAGTCGCCCGCAGAGCCTCCGGCTCCAGTGCCGTCTTCAAGAAGCCATCAATCTCTGCCTGGGAGTAGCCCAGACGCCAATAGAAGCTCTCCGCCTTCTCATGGGGGACCAGGGCAACCCACCATAGCTCACAGTTGCACCTCCAGGCGACTTGACTTGGACCATTCTGTGGGCCCCCAGAGTGGCTGACAGTGCCTGGAAAACGTCCGGGAGCTGCCTGAAAGCATCCAAAGGCAAGGTGATGCGCTCGTCACACACCGCTCGAAAACGGAGCTGCTCCTTTGTGTCCTGGATGTCTTGCTCGGGCAAGTCCAAGACCACCGCTGGGGTAGCCAAAAAGCTGCCAATTTCTTTGTAAAGCAGCCTGATCTCGTGTTGTGATTGGGGAAACCGGAGGCCCACACTAGTGAGGAAGGACTTGATCTCTGAAGTCCTCTGCCGGTGTGCCGCCAACTCTGCCACCTTCTTCTGGCGGATGCCTTCTCCCTGCCCTCGGCGCATGGATTTGATGATCAGAGGCATGCCGCACCAAGCCTGGTAGATCTCTTTGAACGTCCAGGACTGTCCAAACATCGTGATCATGGAGGGGAGATCCCATGACTGCACCCTTCGAACCAGGTGGGTATCGTCGATGCCAGAAGCTACCGCCGTCCCCGGGGCCCAAAAGAAGCCAATGATCTTGTCCAGGTCGGGTCGCTTGCCATCGGCAATCTGCTGCAGGACCACCTGTTCCGTGTAGGTTCTGGGCGTGTAGAAGGAGGTGCCCAGCAGGTTTGTCCTGAGCTCCAAAGCCAAGACCTCAGTCGTAGGTGCAGGTTTCGCCCAGGCAGGTGCCGTGAGCGGGCCCTGTCGCAGTTCCCACTCTCCGCCCCAGGCTCTGACTTCACCTTTGTGGTACTGCAAGATGGAGTCAAGGATTGCGTACTTGCGTTCAAGGCTGTCAGGCGGAAGGAGTCGTGCTAACTGGGCCTCTTGGGAAGATACCGTCTCCTTCCCCATGGTGTACATGTCGAGTTGAGTTTTAGGGAACTCCGTCATGAGGCGGTCCTGGGAGAGCGGAGGCCTGTTGTCCTTGATGAGCTCCTTCATGCGAAGGTAGGGTTGTTTGAGGGCCTCCATGTCAAACTGTTCAGGTCCTTGTGGTCCCATGGCCGGCGCGAAGACATTGCTCTGCCACGCCTCTTGCAGAGTTGGGGTCCAAAGTGAGAAGGGCGCCACGTCGATGGGCTTGAGAGCCTTGCGGCGGTCTCTGAACTCCGTGTCAAGGGCCTTGTTGGCAGCCGCCGCTTTGTCCTGTGTTGTCTGTGCTGCCACCAAAGCTTCATAAGAGGAAGTGAGACCACTTTCTTCGTGTTTTCGCTTGAGGTAGGACCGAAACTGCTGGAGGTCAGCGTGGCGAAGCATTTTGGCACTGACCGGATTCTGGGTTTCCTGCGCACCCTGCTGGATGGCAGTCAAGGTGTGTAGCTCATCCTCCATCGCCACAGTCTCTTGCTGATGCTGAATCTCCTTCTTCCTCTTTTTGGCCTCCTGTGCCGCTTCTGTGAGCTCTTCTTCTGGTGTTGCCAGCAAGTCAGCCTTGAAGCGCATCAGTTCAATAGTCTTCGGATGAAAGATCACCGCAGTTTGAGTAGAGTCTCGATCATCCATAGTGGGGGGGCGCACGCCATCTGGATGAAAGATCTCGTCCTGCCCGAAGGCCACCACGTGCTGCTGCAGTGTCAGGCGCTGGGAGGCAGGCACTTGCTCCGAAAAGCTGACCAACCCCATACCGGCGCCCGAAGCTGCCGCAGGGGGAGGTCGGCCCAGATCGCCCACTTCCACAAAGCCCGCGGCCTTGGTGACCTTAGTGTCTGTTGGGACCCAAGTCGGTCCAGCCTCAGTAAGCCTCAGTTGCCAGGACTGGCCGGCCACCTCAATCACCGACAAAGGTGTCACTGACAAGTCAACAGGCTGAGAGCCTTGGCAAAGCAAACATTTGGATAACTTCCCCCACGGTGCATTGCAATCAGAACAGACTAATTGCGGAGAAGTCCCAGGGTCCGTCTCTTTCAAATTCACCATGGAGCCCCCACGCTGCGTAGTGTGCCGGAGTTTCAACATCTGTGTGTGGACAGCCTCGCGCTTCGAGATGTGATACACCTCTGCGATCTTGACCACCAAGGGTGCCGTCCACGGAGAACTGCGGAAAGCGTCCAACAGGGAACGCAGCTCACCATGCGTAATGTCTCTGAAGTACTTGGCAGCAGAGTGAGGTAGGGCCGGAACCAAGGGTGCCCAGCCTTCGATGGTGAAGGTCTCTGTGGTCTGATCCATGTGGAGCGTCAACGTCTCCTTCTCTAAGATCTGTGGTGTCTGAGCTGGAGTCGGTGCCTCAGCCTGGACGAACCCCGACGGAGGTTTCCCACTTGACGCTGCCACACCTGTCTCCGGCTTGGGTTCCAAGCCCAAGTTTTCCATCACTTTCTCCATCTCATGGAGCTGCGAAGCCAGTGTCTCCTTGGTGATGGCGGGATCATCTTCAAACTCTGTCGTAACCTCGGCCGGCGCAGCCTCAGTCACCGGTGTGGAAAGCAACATGTAATCGTCCCCTGCATCCATTTCTGTTCCAATCAACGAGAAGGAGCCCACGGTGCCAGTCTCACTTGCCACTGGACTAGAAGCCGCCATAAGCAAGACAAGAAGATCGGAACGTCTTTTCGAAAGTATTGGATCACAGGGGGAACAGCTTGAGCCAAAATGGCATAGCCATTTTGGCAACTATATCGTCAACACATTACTTGCTCTCCACAAGTTCCAAGCAAAGAAACAAATATTCCTTTGAAAGACATGCTACATTCCTTAGTAGGGGGCTGTACATAAGGACGCCACTGTATGCAAGAAATTATGCGACTTTATGGAAGGAATGTCATTTTCTTTCAAAAGTACTGCTGCACAACGCATATATTAGAATGGTTTTTCTTTGAAAACAAGCCCCCAAGGCCGTTTGAAACTTGTTTGCTTATTCTATTTCAAATTTTGGCTGCATTGCGTTTCTTCCTATGATTTTGAGTAACTTTCTGGGCGGGCGCTCAAACTATGAGAGAACCAACAAAAAACATCTGGGTGATGTTGACGAGAGAGAATTGAAGAGCCACAATATGTCCCCAACATGCAGACTTGAAGCCAAGAGAAAAAAGGATTTGGCATTTTGAATGAAGCCAAAAACAAGAAAACAAGTCAATGGAGTTCCATGAATGGTTGGAACATAGGGTTGGTTTTTTATGTTTTGATTCTTTGATTTTTCCATTGGTTTTTGGCACCTTTGGGCAGAGACATGACCGAAAAACAAGTCAATGGTGGTTCATGAGTGGTTGGGACATTGGATTGCTTTTTTTGGGTTGGTTACCACAGGTCACCGCTAAAGTTTTAAAACCTAATTCATGTGTTTTGTGATTAACAAACATTGAAGCTTGTGAAACTAAGTCATGTTCAGAAAAATTGCACTCCCACAGCTCCCTCTAAAAACCCACTGACAGTGCGACGGTGCGAGGGGCGCTCACCTTTTGCACCCACCCAAGCCATGACGATTGAAATTAAGAACTTGGGGAACTGTGGGCTGGGAAACATTGGGCTCTTATCCAACGCGCAGGCTTTACAACGATAGTGGGCCATCCCCAGTAGAAACCAAATCCATCTTACTTGCCGGGATACCAGAGTGGTTGGCGGATGGTTTCGGGATTGAGCCACAATATGCGTTAAACACCAAAAAAGGGACCGTGACGAATTTTGATGGTCCCCAGGGCCTCCAGGAAGACAATACAATATTCACTATTTCAATCCCAAAGTTCCGCTGAAAACCTTTCAAGGGCCAAATGGTAGACTTCAAGTTCTCTTGTCGCAACAGCCGCGCTACATTCGCTTTCAATACCTTGAGGCATGTTGTGGTGCATGTCCAGCCGATTCCTCAGGACAGCATGGTGCTCCCCCGCTGTCAACAGGTGGAAACCTGTTCCTGGAAACCTGCTCTTGGAAACCTGTCCTTGGAAACCTCTTCCGGCGAACCTTGCTTGGAAACCTGTCTTGGGAACCTGTTCTTGGAAACCTTGCTCGGGGACCTTGCCTGCGAACCTGTTCTTGGAAACATTGCTTGGAAACCTGTTTTTGAAACCCTTGCTTGGCAACCTGTCCCTGGAACCCTTGCTTGGAAACCTTTTCTTGGGAACCTTGCTTGGGGACCTTGCCTGCGAACCTGTTCTTGGAAATATTGCTTGGAAACCTGTTTTTGGAACCCTTTTCTTGGTAACCTTGTTTGGGAACCCTTGCTTGGTAACCTTGCTTGGGAACCTTGCTTGGAAACCAACCTTTGGGAACCTGTTCCTGGGAACCTTTGGTAATCTTTGGGGACCTGTTCCTGGGAACCTGTTCCTGGGAACCTTGCTTGGAAACCTTTGGGAACCAACCTTGCTCGGGAACCTTTGAGAACGTCTTCCTGGGAACCTTTGGGGGCCTTTGGGAATCTTGCTTGTAAACTTTGCTTGGGAACCTTGCTTGGGAACCTGTTGTTGGGAACCTTTGGGAACGTTTGGGAATCTTGCTTGGGAACCATGGGAACCTTGCTTGGGAACCTGGCTTGTCACCCTGGCTTGGGAACCTTGCTTATGAACCTTGCTTGGGAACATGCTCGTGGGAACATGCTCTTGGGGACCTTGCTTGGAAACCTTGGGTAACCTGTTCTTGGGAATCTTTGGAAAATTGAAATGTTTTTGGGAACCTGTTCCTGGGAACCTCGCTTTGCAAATGTCTTGGGAACCTTTGGGAATCTTTGGGAACCTGTTCCTGGGAACCTTTGACCTTGCTTGGGAACCTGGCTTGGGAACCTGCTCTTGGGAATCTTTGGGAACCTTTGGGAACCTCTTCCTAGGGAACCTTGCTTGGGAACTTCGCCTGGGAACCTTTCTTGGGAACCTTGCTTAGGAACCTTGCTTTTGGGAACCTTGAACCTTGCTTGGGGACCTTGCTTGGGAACCTTGCTTGGAAACCTTTGGGAACCTTGCTTGGGAACCTGGCTTGGGAACCTTTCTTGGAACCGTTCCTGGGAACCTGGAAACTTTGGCAATCCGGATTTTGGCTGCTCCGACGGGACCTTTACTATGGCTGAAGACCCCAAGCTTACGCTGTTGGGGAAAAATTTGATTCTTCCTGCGGTGAGCTGCCACAGGTGCCACCAGCCGGGCGATGGCTTTTCGGATAGAGCCCTGGTGCGCAGAGGAACCATAGATAAGTTACACGCCCTTCGGTGGGAACCCTGGTGAGAAGCATGTCTGCAGGGAGATTTACCTAGTAGTTCATGGTAGGGATATCTCATATTATGTATACCTGTGCAATCTTTATTTGTTGGAAACCCACCTAGCGATGCATGCATCAATGATTTGCTCTGTTCCCATTTCTGGGAGGATCCTGCAAACGGTAGCTTTGGGGAAGAAATGGATCCAGCCAAATGATGTAACTACCACAAAATAAACGCAGGTCAGTTGCACAAGCCAAAACGATAGGATCAAAATGATGGATGTCTTGTTCTTCTTCTGGTTGTTATGCCGACACAACAGCGTCGATCACGGAGGCACACACAAATTGCCATTTTCACCAATGCGCTCAGCTATCAGGACAAGGGGCCCCTTCGGACCGAAAGCAACAGTGTGGACATGAGTTCATGGCCTGTGCTGGATGTACATGACTGTGAATTGCATGGGTACAGAAATCCTTCTGAACTCATGAACTGCTGTTGCAATTGGTGCGCTGGAGATCCACTCACAGACTTCTGCTTTCGTGAGCTGACCACGAAAGCAGGATCAAATTTCAGCATCCATCCGCGATGCTTCAGAAAATACTTCAAACTTTCTCTACATTTCTTCTTCTTCTTCGTCAGGGCGTCTGAAAGATTCCAGTCACTGGCCACCCAAATTAAACACGTGCCACAGGCAGGCAATGCTTGCTTGAGATACTCAGCTTGCAGAGCTGCACGAACATATGACAAACCAAGGAGAGGAGACTCATTGAGCATGATACTGCCGTGGCCACCACGACTATCAGGACCTAGCAATCCAGGAACCATGCGAACTTCATTGATGGAGCCAGTCGAAAGTTCTCGACCAGTTGATCTGACGCCCGCACCATTCAGCTCGGCCCAAAGACGCCTAGTTCTGTAGACAGCATCTCCCGTCTCGACCAGTGATTGCACTTCTGCATCATTTGAGGAAATGGCCACACGCTTGAGTTTCCAGCTTTTCCAGGCTACTAAAACGAAAGGATTGGGTTTTCCTAAACAAGCTATTTTTGGCCCAGCTAGAAAAATCAACATTCCACCAGTTGAGCCACCCTTTGGCCTATTGTTGTGGCCTTGGTTGGTCACCTAAACCAACAACACAAACATCTTTCCAAGTTTGGACACGAGGCAGCTTGAAAAACTTGAGAACCGTGCTGTGCTTGCGCAGCTCGCGGATCATCTCTTGGATCTCCTGAGCAGTGGACATCTTTGGAGAGCCAGCCAGTTCAGTAATCAAAAGATTGCACCGTGCACATATCAGAGGTTGTGTGTTTGCACCGCCAACCATTGGAGAGTACCTATAGAAGCTGGGCAAGCAGTGATTTCTTTCTCTATGTAAAAAGATTGATCGACCACCGGATATCGACCATGAGCAGGGTCCTCCACGATCTCAAGATCAGTACCTGCATGTCTATAGGAGTTCAGCTTTGCAGTGCCCCATCGATAGCGGGTGTCAATGGAGAGCTTGATCTCTTGCCACCTTGGACTGTTCTCATTTCCAGCCAGGTGGAAATCATCAACGTGACCAGCCATGATACCTAGAGGAACTGTGCAGCCATCAACTACTTCTGTCCAAACCCAAAAGACTTGTCACCTTTGATACGCAAGGCTTTGAGCTCAGTCATCGTGGCATAGATGTTTTCCCAGAGGTTTCGTGCCCTGGAGCTGCCACCCAATTTCAGCGCCGGCAATCATCACATTCAAGTCGAAGAGCAGCTTCAACTTGCCACTTTGCCTTGCCACTTTCTTTGATGATTCTGGCCAAGTTGTAGTTGTTGGGATGCCCTGCGGCCTTGTGGTACTTGAGCAATTGGATCTTCCAAAGTCGCAGTTGGTCGGCTGTGGAATCCGCACTTTCACCAGCCATAGCATCAAGTTGAAGAGCATGGCATTGTTATTGCTCTGACAGATGTTGGGCTAGAGGTGAATGCAAGCGCTCAAGCCATCGCTGTGGATATAGTTCATGGCGCCGGCGCTGTGCAATGGAGCGGCACAGCTTCCATGGCTAATATGCACTTCTAGATGTTTCCAAACTTTGTATGTGATCGTGATCATGACTGCCAGTGCAAGTTTTGTTGCGGAAAAACTGGAAAAAGGTATTGGAGGTGGTACCTATGGTCCAGCGCTTCTGCAGGTGTACTCCACGTTGAGACTTCAGGTCATAGCTGCCGCCATCCATTCACGATCCAACTTCAGCAGTTCATCACTTAGATACAAAAGCCATTGTTCTTGCCAGCCATAACATCTTGTGGGCCATTCCCAAAACAACTCTGTTTCTGGATATAGTTGAAGCATCTCCAGAAGAAAAGGTATCAACAGTCTGAACATGGCTCGCTCACGACGGCGATACTTCTCCAGCTGAGCTCGGCGATCTTCAGCCTGGTAATTCAGGGCCGTCCTTGGACACCAGTAGGTGCAGCGAGCACTCACCCAAACACGTCGAGGACGTTCACGGTGAAAACGTTCTCGCAGCTGTTGATAGCTTTTTGGGATCATAGAGATTTTAACCGCAGGCCAAATTGATGCGGCGTGCTTTCAAACCATCCACTTCGCAGGCTTGCGTCAGCCAGCTTTCGGGAGCACAAAAAATCTCCCAAGTGTCACATTGATCCCCAACTCGAAGAAGGCTCTGTAGCTCCCTCTGTGCATGCAGCATCATCGTCATCACAGACAAAGCTGCGTGGCCAATTCGCAAAGGAAGACCACAGGATTGCACACCTCCATCAGCAGTCGTAAAAGAGGTCTGCTGTTGTTCCATTTGCTGTACTGGAGACAAAGCATCTTTGGAGCTGGTAAGCACATGTTTCTTTGGTTTTTCGGTTTTGTTGTGCTTTCCAATCACCTTGCATTCCATCATCTTCATGAATTCAAAATCATCTGAGGGCCACGCATCATCAGGCACATTGTCGTCCTGAGAGCTCATTGCATCAGAACACATTGCAAAGGGCTCTGCAGGGAAGGCAACCATCTTCGTATTGGATTCAACCTCAGATCATTGTGCACATCATGGGCTGCTGGAGACATCTCAATGACGAGGAAGCCGGAATGCCCTGGGAACCATCGGATCTGTTGGGCCCGGGTGCATTTGGCCTTGTCAAGGCTCGCACTCCAACGTGAAGACTGGATCCAACGGTTCGGGCACTTGGCAGCATTGTCAAGTATGTGCTCTACGAGTGTCCTACACGCCACGACAGGGGACTCCAGAAAAGCACGCGGCTCATGTGGATCCCAGCGTGGTGATGGCAGCGCTCAACAAGCTGGAAACCGACTTGCCCAATGGTCAGATGCCGACCGCCGATTTGGTCCGCATGGTCATCAAGTTGATTCTTTCCCAGAAGGAGCTCGAGGCTCGAGGCCCTGCGGACCAAGGTGGCCGGCACCACCGAGAAGGCGAATTTGATGTCCAAGCTCTGCCAACAGATGCTGACCAACCTAGAGACCCCACCGACCCCATCCAATGTGCAGCGCAGCAAGGCAGAGAATCTGGCGGCCCACCTGAATGCGGAGGAGTTGGCTTATCTGAGGACCATGGTGGCGGAACGTGCCCCGACATCTCCATCGTCGCTGGACACAGACGTGGAATCAACTCTCTGGGATCGCTTGGATCGGCTGGAAGTGCTCGATGAGGCTCCAAAGGTGGTGCTGTGCTCTTTGGAACTGGATAGCCGCTGGAAGTCTTTGGGGCCATGTTGAGAAAACGTTGCACGGTATCTTGAGTTTCTCCGGCTACATGGACATCATTCAGCCGTTTTCTGCGCTGACAAAAAATACTGAAAACCTTGCGCTTCATGAGAAACATGCAAGTTGAACCCCCCAGATTCTTCAACTCTGAAATTCCATGGGTCTCAGCTCAAGCCATGACCAGGAACCCAGTCCTTGTTCGGCACCATCGCACTCATCAGTGCCGCTGCGCCATCAAGCATGGCCTCGGGGTCAAGGGAGACACCACACAGGTAGTTGACCAAGTCCACCATATAGTGACCTTTAGGGTTTCGCCTGCCTCATGCTATAGGGCTCCGCATCAGGTTCAGCACCATGTAGGGCATGACCATCCGAAAAAGCCAAAATAAGGCCAGTTTTCAAACAGAAGTCCATACCAACCAAATAGGCACCAGCATATTTGATGAGGACCAACCGTAAACATAGCCAGGATGGTCAGGAAGAGCATAAACCTGAAAACTCCGCAATGGATCTTTGGATGAAGTGATAGTGAGGTGACACTTGGCTTTGCCCGACTGTCCCGAACCATACCAAAAATGAGGGGTTTGATCATAATCCATGTGGACTCCAATCTCTGGGTCAATCTCCCTCTGCTTAAATAACAAAAGCTTTGCTGAAGACTCCGGACCAGCTGATGCGGTCGCACCGGTGTCTAACATTCCAAATCCCACAGGCACAGTTTTTGGACAGCTAGTTGATGAGGATGGTTGGGAGGTTGAAAAAAGCTCCAGCGGCTGCAACTCCAACATATAAGAAGGCATGTAGCTAAGGTCCATGTTGTAGGTGTTCATGGAAGGTTTGCCTTTGCCCTCGTTGAAACCCTTTCCAAACTTACCAGAACCCTTGTACATTGCATAGCCATCAAAACCATAGCCCATAGATTAGATGAAAACCAGCTATCATCCCATGAAACTGCATGAAGACCTTTTGATTTCCCTTATCCACGTCCTTTGCCCTTGAAGAGGAAAATTCTGCAGGAGAAAGTTGTTTCCCAAAGCCTTTTCGAGCTCTAGGGTGCAAACGGTCAGGGCAATCACGCGCAAAATGATCACCTCCACATTGAAAACACTTGCCTTTCCCCTTACCAGCAGAACTAAATTGGCCAAACCCTCGGTCTCTCGTCAAGGTTGCGGTGAGCCTCATTAAACATCGCTTCGGCAGAACGTTCGGCTTGAAGAGCTTCCTGAAGTTCATTGTCATCTGCAGAGGCATCCACACCAGATGGACTTGCGTCCAGGGAGTTCTGAGCATCATCTGACCATTGTGCAGCGTGGGCGTCGCCCTCGCTCCAGTTACCAAAGTACCAAGACTCATCATTATCATACTGCCAGTGGTATTGTTGATCATATGGATACGGTGAACCATCACCCCAAGATTAAGTCCAGTGATTGTAGTGAAAGCCCATTGAGCTAGCCGCTTGGCTACCCTTTGTCGAGCCCGGTTGTTCATTGCACAGAGTTTGCAGAGCGTCTGCAATTGATTGGTAATCCAGTTTGTTGCCAGTTGTAGCAAGCACGTCACGCCACTCATCTGATGTCAAACTCGCTGCAACCAACAAACGCCAACCCCTCATCACATCGAGAATAAAACTATCCATCGGGCTCAACCCAGCAAAATCCTGGGGTTTCCGGTGAGAGCCGTAAGGACGCTGAGGGCTGCTAGGGGAACCATCTTGCTGACGCCGTCCTATCTCAAAGGACTCACTGCAGGTGAACCAGGATCTGATTGCTGTGGAACCTCATTATAGCCATCAGGACGAGGTGCTGGACGATCACCGCCTTCATCATTCTGTGGTTCATCATCATCAGCATCTGCAGCATCTGCAGCATCATCATCATCATCATCATCGTCATCATCATCATCATCATCATTGTTGTCAGCTGAACCAACACCATGCCAAGCACCCTAACGGCCTTGCCACCATGACTGTGGTCGACGACCGTCATAGCTATCAGAGGTCAAACCAGAAATCTCAGGCTGCTGAGAGGGATCACGGCCATCTCGCTCTTCTTTCAACTGAATCAAAGCTTCTTGAAATTCTTCAAAACCCAGAGCTTCACGCAGCAGAAACTGCGCTATGGGTTCATTCACCTTTCGACGAAAACTAAAATACTCAGACATGGTTGAAGCAGCATTCGGAAGTGAGCGTCTCACCAGGGGCGATGCTGCAAAGCACTGCAACATCTTCGCAACACCTTGCTCACCTTCGAAGTCACGTTGTCGCCAGCTCATTGAAAGTAGACTTGCAGGGCCAGTCAGGCGAGTGATCAACTTCGCCGCTGCATGTTGTCGTTGGTTGGCCCTGGTGCCACTAGTGAACCAGCAAACTTCCTTGCAGGAACTTCTCCATGTCCTTGAGCTTCCATCCCATGCGGGAACATAGCTATCCGACTTTTCACGCCCAGGTTGCATCCCAAAACCCACCAGGTCAGAGGCACAGTGGAGCGGATCGGGCAACGGGCACGGTCTTGGAGCGAACCGTGCTCCGCTGCCAATGCAACTGGTAGCTTTGGGGAGCAGACGGATCCAGCCAAATGATGTAATTGCCACAAAATAAATGCAGCTCAGTTGCACAAGTCAAAACAATAGGATCAAAATGATGGATGTCTTGTTCTTCTTCTGGTTGCTATGCCGACACGACAGCATCAATCACGGAGGCACACACAAATGCCATTTTCACCAATGCGCTCAGCTATCAGGACAAGGGGCCCCGTCGGACCGAAAGCAACAGTGTGGACATGAGTTCATGACCTGTGCTGGATGTACATGAGTGTGCTGAAATCACATGAATTGCAGACCCCCATTTTGGAGGCTCCTTCCATCACTCACTTCGGTCAGAGAAAAGTTGAAAAGAAAAACGTTTAATTCTCACGGCCAAATGTGGGGTAATAAGATTTTCTGTGAAGTGTCCCTTGAACGAATTTTGGGATTCCAACACAAGTGGGTTCAAAAAACAATCTCAACCAATCTCAACCAATCTCAACCAATCTCAACCACCCAACCGGCAGGCCTTTTGGTCTGAATCTGCCAGTTTCACTTTCAGCATCTTTTGTGTGATGCCTTCAATCACGGCGGCCTGAAGACGCCAGGGCAGAAAGAGCTGTGAATTCACTTGGATTGATGTAATTTCTTGTGGATTGGTTCTATTCTGGTTGTTTGATGCCTTTGTGTAGATTTTACTTCAATGAAATCCTATGAAACCAGGTAGTGTTACACGCCTTATTAACTATGGGTGAACCAAGATTTTGGCCGCTGCTCACATGACCCAGGGCCAATGTGCCCCCTAAAGCAATCGCTACCTAGTCTTTCCAAGAAAAGAAATCTGCAAGGGGTCAGAGAAGGCGAACTCCCGCCAGCACCTGACAACAATGCCTGGCTCTTATTAGTGGCGCTTCCTAGGATTGGCCAACCCTCTACTCAGGCCACCTTGCCGACATACTTCCCGCCAGTGATGCTGATGCTCTGCCCCAACTCCATCGCGGCGAAGCTTTCGGTGATTACAAGAAGACACGACAAGTAAACCATGACCATAACCTGTGTGCTGATTGGTTCGCCCGTTTGTTTGACCTTTGTAACTTGTATGGAATCATCGCTGCCGTTGCTTCAAAATCTTTGCAGTGCGTAGTTCTGCATAAACATTTTATTCAGGGCTTCTCGATCTGACCCTCACAGTACCATGTGGCAACCTCCCAGGCTTCAAAGATGCTTCGGAGCGAGCAAGCTCGTCTGGCATATCTGATGTACAGCCTGTTCCCAGAAAAGATTGTGTTCTTGATAGATCCAGATGTATATGCTAATATTATGCTAATCATATATAATCATGTTGGGGTGCATCCGATGCTTCCCCACGACTGTTAGTTTTTGGCGGCAGGACGTGCTGCAATCGGAGGTGAGTAATCAGATGCCCTCAGTCCGCGAAAAAAAGAGGCGTCTTGGCCCATTTTCTTCATCGCTTCTTCATCGCTTCTCGGTCCGTCGAGTATCAGCCTCAGTGTGTCGGGTTGTCGGGTTGTCGGGTGTCGCGGTGAGGTTTGCTTAAGATAGGCTCGGACTATATAGATCCCTGGAGTCAGCACAAAGAATCTATGTGTCCTTGTCCAACTTTGAGGGGCTTAGACACGCCGTCTTTCTCAAAGTCCTGTATTTGTCCATGTTGCCACAAAACCTTCCAGTGTTTCTTGACTTCACTTTGCACCATGGTATCCTGGGATTCACACGTGCCATGGCCAAAATATAGTATATGGTTTATAGATGTTTATAGTTTGTGGTCAATCATCCCATAATGTGCACATAGATATAACAATTTATTCATGGATTGCGGATTAATGACAATCACCACATACGGTATACAATCCAACTGTTGAGCATGGCACACATGATCCCTTGTTTTGCCAACAGTATCTCCTATGCCAAGAGCAGCACCAGTGAGTACAACGCAAAGCCTGAGAGGCAGAGAACCAACCTGGCAGACGATGCTTGTTTCGGAGCTCATACTACCATATACTACACAACATATTGGAGATTTTCCAATCGCTTTAGTTCTGCTCAATTCGAACTATCCAGCCGACTTTTGGTGCCTTGCTTGCCTTGCTGGTGCCTTGCTGGGTCGGGTCAAGCTGGCTCGATACTACCAAGCTGACCACACCACAGTGACTTTTGCAGCCTCTGTGGTGCGAAATTTGTCATGCAGAGGATTCATAGCGGATGCAAGCATTCGGACGTTTCTTGAAGACAAGGTTTTCAGACACAGAATGGACATTGAATGCTTGTCTGCCAGACTCTCAGTTTGAAGTCAAGCACAAAAATGCTTCCAATTCGGGAAAAGTTAGGGTTGCGTTGACCAACTGAAGTACTGCTAGAATGCAAACAGACTCTGTCCGTTACTTGCAAGCCCATGGCAAAGTATCATGGCCTGCACTGCACCAGACAGGGAATCCATGTAACCTGATGCTACTGTAGTGTGTGTGCTTGCATCATGTGATCGCCATTTGTGCAGGTTTTGATCGTACCGAAGAATTGCCTCCGTATTTAAAACTGCAATTACACGCTTTGGTGTCTTTAGTAACTGCTGGGCGAGAGGCACCCAGCAGATTTGTGTTCTACAGCAATGAATGATGGGTCGAGCTTCAACCCCCCGAGGGAGAGCAAAACATGCAAATCCCTGCGGCCCGAATTCAAAGTGCAGCGCGTGTTCTTTGAGCGCTGCTCAGTTGGACAACGCTCATTCAGCCGTACGCAAGGGCATTTAAGCACGCCCTTTTGAACAGCTGATTGATGTGGTCCAATCCCTAGACCAAAACTATCGTCGTGTGCATGTTTATATCATGGGATGCCATCGAAGCATCACTCCCTGGCTCTTGTGACATGGCTACCGGGCAAAGTCACAAAATCACCATGACATCCCATTTAGCTCCGCCGTGTGCGCTCCGAAACAGTGATCTTCAGATTCGAAGCTGTGCTACCACAAGGCTGAAGGCTTGAAGCAGACCCCTTGTCTCATTCATCAAGAGTATGAGATGGGCTCACATGTCTGGGATGAGATTGATATAAAACAGTATAAAACATCTGATACGAATCCATGGCTGGATGAATCGATGGACCCATGGATGCTAACATCTTCCAACCACAAGTGACACAAGTGTCTGGCCAAGTTTGTTTCAGCCATGAAGGACCCTCAACATGGCTGGAAGCAGCACTAAAGTTACTAAAGGGAACTGCTGCCCCATGCCACGGCTGGTCTCCTCGATGCCTCACGGCTGGATTTCGCAAGGTGCTAACGCTCGTTGTAGCTTTTTAGAAAGTGAAACTAGGATAACAGTGGTTTGATGTGGTTTGGACATGAAATGATGGCAATCATCTGGCAATCTGAATTTCTGGCACATCCTGAGATTTGGTTTGCTGGAAATCATTCCATCCCAGAACCTTCTGGCCGCTCCTGTTTCATCCGGCGTGTCCTCGCAGTTCGGCTCGCACTGAAGGCCAACACCCTCGCATGGTCGTGGGCAGATCCTTGGATCCATTTCCAACCGTGTTTCATTCCCGGAACTGAATCCTCGCACCCAAGTCCCCCGGCCCTGGCATGAACTCGTGAATGGCACGTTGGGCGCCCTTAATGCTCTTCTTGCCATGAAGAGCCTTGCCGTTTACGTGTGGTCATGGACTGATCCAAGTGTCTAGTCAGGAGCAACATTCGTATCTACCTCAATATATGGTTATCTATATATATATATACTGAGTGAATACATAATTATTGTTGTATTTAGTATACACATACATGTCAAATAATTCACATATGATATATAATATGCATGCATACTTATCACATAGATCATCCTAGATTTGCAATTCCATGTTGGAAAAAAATGACCCTGACTTCCGCCATCTCGGTGCATAGCAAGGTCCCCTAAGGTGCTTTCCTCCTACCAGCTCCTCCACACATGATTCTGCAGCCTCTGGCCCATTTTCCGTGTTGTTGTTCTTCAACAACCATTGAATGTAGTCATAGCATGCCTGCAACGAGCTTCAACTATTCCTGTGTGCCAGTGCTGTGCCAGCCTCGGCTTTCTGAGTCCCTGAAACGGATTGAAAGAGTACCAATAAGACATCTTTAAGACATCTTTAAGACATCTTCTCCTCGTCTCCAGCCTCTCCAGGTTCAGTGCTGTGGCACCAAATGGGCGTTCCACAAGGATGTGGACAGTCACCCAGCTGCAGTTGCGCCATGACCATCTGCACCTGATCGGTCGAGTTTGTGTTTCCTTAAAGTGGAAGTAACAGAAATCAGTGGTTCAAAGAGGAACATGAATCTTGCAGTCCGGCATGGAACAGGTTCGGCTTGATGAAAGCTCCACAGTGATGTGTGCCAGCCTCGGAAAAGGAAGAACTTGTTGTCGCACCAGGATACCTTTCCAGCAAGAAGTTTTACAGGGTGGGAAGGCAGAGCCTCTCAAATCTGCATCAAAGTCGCCACACAGCTTGAAATCAGCATTGTCCTCTCCCTTCAAAAAATTATTGACGGGCTTCCATGAATTGAGAGGGTTGTAAATCCCGCTGTCTGAATGCTTGACTATGACTGCTTCACGTTGGAACAGTCCCATCAAATCTTAAACGTCTCCATGCTACATAATTTCGTTGTGAATCTGTACAGAATCAGATGATATTTTCAATGTTGAGTTCGATGCATCCCAGTGCATCCACGGGTCCACGCCTATCGGGGTTCGCCTGGAGATCTTTTTCCATAGCATAGCGAACCTGGCTGTAGCACTGTTCGCCTGGAAGAGCATCATGACCTGAGAGACAGCTGACCAAGTAGCCATTTGAAGTCAGCTGGAAGCGTCATGCTTGGTTTATTGATATTTATTGCCTCCAACCAGAAATGAAATGCAATCAAGGTGATGCTGTGCAATATCCAACCCAGAACTTAAGGTTTGGGTTTTCACACCTCCCATTCTAAGAGGAATCAGCCGTCCAGCCCCTCTGTTCAACGCAACTACTGGAATGTCCAGGCTCGCTGCATTTGACCTATCTTCCTTGAAATCTATCACACATATGCCCACGTGCCTTTCTAGCTCCATGAAAAATCGTTCATTTCCAGACATGAAAGACTTCTTATCTGCCGCTCACATGACTTCTTGAACTTCTTGTGAGAAGTCTTTCAGATTTTCCGGTACTTCTCAATCAAGCTGCAAATGCGAAATGCCATTGATGCGTATGCTTCGTGATTGGGACACTCGGCCTCGAGCCCACAAGGAACAAACGAGGCAAAGGAGAAGAAGAGTTTATCAAACTCCGATGTGAATCTCGGGCGAATCTCTACATAGTTTGATCGATTCATAGTAGATACACTACGCCTGAAATTCACAGCTCTGTGGGACAGCCCCAAGCCTCATCATGAATACGTACATGGTTTCACCAAACATTTGCAATGGCCAATCTCAGCTGAGAGTCATTGCCGGCGCTGCAAAAGGCAGGATCCTCTCGCACAAAGACGTAGAGTCGATAGTTTCCACCTGGATCCAAATGCTTCCGGCAATGTCGGCATGTTTTGTTTCCTATGTCCGGTCTGCTGACACCTGTCAGTCACCTTGGATGTTGATCTGCAAACGTCCATTCTACATGTACAAATCTATCCCTTCTGCAAGCTCCGGGAGGAGCAACAACTTCTATCCGAGAGTTTCGCAAGTTTTCCGCGAGGCACGTTTCGACACGGACCACAAAACCACAAAACACGTTCACCTGCAAACTTGGCTCCATAATGCTCCAATGTCATTCAATTTCACTCGGATCTTCCTTCTGAAGCCCTGCAGCCTACGGTCCCTTCTGCTTCCAGGCGACTTATCTTCAACGTTGAGGTGTTGAGAATAACGGAGAGACCCACACCGCTTTTCTTCTCAGGGCTATCCGGAAACCTTGGACTTCAGTAGCAGGCCAAAGCCAAACTGTGAGCCAACATGATGGAAAGCATCCACTGCAACAGGTTTCAAACGACATGTATATGTTCGCTCAAATGTGATGATAGAATTTCTGCAGTGTCATCATGCCATCACTGTTGCAACGTTCCCCCGACGGGTCAAGAGGCAAGTCTTCAAGAAGCGGATTGGTGTCTTCGTGTACACCACCCACTGCTTCAGAAACAATCTCCTCCGTGACCTTGGAGATGGAAACAGATTGCCTCCATGCAAAGTCTGTCTAACTAGAAGCAGGATACGAATGAAAGTTTTCGAATGGGGACAAAGAACAAAGGCTGGGAAGCACCAACAATTTTCTGTGGGTAGTTGAGCCACCCATCCCAAGACTATGACAGTCAACGGAGATCAAAATCCCTTATTTTGCGGATGGCAAATTAAAATATGCGAAGGAACCACAAAACAAGAATGGTAAATAAATGTAAATAAGACATAATTTGAGATTAAATTGGTGGTTTCTCTCCCTGTCTTTCCGGGCCTCAACGGGGCAACTTCTGTCTTTCAAAGCTATGCTCAGCCCCCTGCCACCCAAATCCCTGTGAGGGGATTGCCATCCTGTTGCGTTGCATTCACCACCTGCCACAAATGGCACTTGCAAAACGCAGCACAAGGTTGAAACATGTTGAAACATCACAGCTGTCGGCTTGCTGCTTGAACTTTCGAACCTTAACCTTTTTTGCTGCACACTTGCTGGTAGCAATTGCAATGCGCCATCAAACTATATCATTCATGCAACAAGAAGAACGTGGTACAAGTAAGAGACTTCGCCATCACTTTTCCCCTCTCATCCGCTCGCATCTTGTAGTCACTAGTAGTCATTAGCAAGCAGCCTTTGGTTTTAGACTTTTGAGAGTCTTGAGAGAGCTCACATCCACCAGCCACATCCAGCCACCAGCCCCAGGGACACCAGCGTTACTTCGCTTTGGTCAACGGTGAAGGCAGCTTGCTCCAGCTGCTTCCCATCCACTGCGACGCTGTGGATGCTTGGGGCCTTCGTTGACTTGTCCTGGTCGCCAAGCTGGTCGGGACAAGAAATACGGAGCACGCTGTGGTTTCTGTGTAGATATGCCATACAAATCGTATACTTTGTACAGTAGATTCGGAAAATATCACGACTATGCAGACGTATGCATACCTACGCGTACGTATATGTATTTATATTTATATATACAACCACGTCTAGAGTCTACATATCTACATATAATATACACATGTACATGTAGCTACCATCATAGAACTATCATTGTCCTTATCATCATTCGGTGCCTCAGCCCTGCAAACCTCTCCCCAGCCATAAGCACCTGCCCTGTCCAGCACTTTTGCAAGGCACTAAGCACCTGACGGCAGAAAGAGGTAGCTGCTAGGTGTAGCTGCTATGACTACCTCACAACTCACGAGTCTGAGGTCTTCAGTCGTTCTTGTCAACATCACATAGCATTACCATCATTACCATGTATCAGTATGCCTTCAGAACCAGGGACTGTACCAATGAACCCAAGAAGTTGGCCATTTGTCGTAGTGTCGTAGTGAACCCAAAATGTTGAGTCATATCATGCCATGTCCAGTTTCCATATACTACAATTGTATTATATTATATATGTATATAACTGTATATATATATATATACATAACATCATATAACTATATATATAAATAGCTTATGATTACATATAGCTAAATATAATTCCCTGGTACTTCTACCTGCAAAGTGCCTTGGGCCACCTTTCTCCGGGTCCACAGCGCCTCTGACTCGCAGACAGGACAAACAGAGCTGCTGATGTTCTCAGAAACCGCGGTCCACTCGTTGAAGAGGCCGTACCAGGTGCCAGTCTTTTCCCACTTCCATCCCCAAACCTCAGCTATCCCGTTACATCCGTTACTGGTTGATAGCGATTCCATGGGATTCCCATCATGGGTCACCAGGGTCCCCAATAAACCAGGGAATAACAGTGGTTTAATATAACTACTGCAATAATCCACCAATTGGTATCTTCGGCACTGTCCAGTCAGCCATAAATGATTCAATGCACCGATGATGACAAGGGAAACTCTGGAAGGATTTGACAATTTTGCATCTGAATCGGATGTTGAAAGCCGTGATCCACTGGTTGATGGAACTGCTCTAGCCGCTTCCACCCCAAGACAAGCTGGACACAGGTTGCTAAGCCTCCAAACTCTCATCAATTTTGATCTGTGGATACGCCGTCTGTAGACATTTCTTCGACAAGTTTTGAATTTACAACTCGTTGGCTTCAATTACTCTTCAAAAACTATCAGGTGCGCAACAAGTTAAGAATCTAGAGATGTTTAACCGGTCGATTTCTGCCGCGCAACAAATGCAAAGGCGGCAATGCACTGGGTCTGTGAAGCACAGCCTTGGTATGACAACTACTCAGCTGATGGATCTGTGCTGAATTTCGTGAATTTCCGCGACCAAGACCTTTGGACAGAGGTGGTAGCTTTTGTATGGACCTAATCGACACACTGGCTCCAAAATTGCATTGTTGTGAAATTCATTGCAAATTTAGCTTCTCTGCACTTACGCCCCATCTGTTTGGCACATTCTTGCTGTGCTCCGCAAGAACTTGATTCCCAGCGGCTCGCAAGTGGCCGCATACCTGGGCACCTTCTCTGTCGAGCTCTCCTGACAGGTCTTGGATTTTACTGCTGAGCCAGCAACTCAGTAACTAGAACATGTTCAGAACTGTTCTCTGACCGGACGATGGCTTGTCACTCCGTTCCACTCGCCAAAGCTCTCCAACGAAAATCAACTCACATCACAAGAGTTCATGTAATACGAAAGACCCAGCACATCAGGTCCAAGGAAAGTCCATGACTTCAAGGGCAATGGCCACTTGCCTCGATGTAGGAGCCCCACGCCGTGACATTGGCACTCCAGTGACCTGACACTCCTAGCTGCCCTAGCTGCCCCAGTTGACCCTCAAGAGGATTGTGATTCGTGAATCAACAAAGCTACAGATTGTTACAGCACCCTTCGGAATGTATAAAAACTACAGCGCTGCGGTAGCAAGGGAAGAGGTTCATTTTCTCCAACATGAAAGTGATACCATGGCCATCCATGGCCACAATAATTGCCTCTGGAAGTGATGGTTTGCCAAGTGGCCTGTTGGTCCAAACTCCATCAATGCATAGGGAAGGTATAGGCCAGCACGCCGCATGTCATCTCCCACCTTCAAGGATTCCTGTGAAATTGGGAGCCGGAGGAAAGGGTGTTGCACAACGCTACCACTTCACCTCTGGTCTAGCGAAGGCGTGTTATCCATGTTGCATCATCTTGCTGGAAAACACGGAGGACTTGAACAGTAATGATGTATAGATAATTTTGGCAGGTTGGTTCGGATGTTTCCAAACCAGCAAGTTCGAAGTAAAGACGATGTGTTTGCATATGCCGTCCTCACCGTACGAGTTCACTCCAAGGAAATCGAGATCGGTGCAGAACTCTTTGATCAGCTTCAACTGGCAAGCAGAATGATGTCAAATTCACAGGATCATTTGTAGTGGAGGCAGCCTGAGGGTATCTGACATCAACTCGTTTTCTTCTTCTCTACAGTGACTCTACAGTGACTCTACAGTTCTCACCCTCCAATATCTCCAATAGAGCAGCCGCCTTGCCCTCATGTGCGCCAGCAGAAACGTAGCCAACTGGATGCATGGGATCCTGGCACTTGGACCATTGGACCCACGGCAGTGCTGATATTCCATGGCAATGAACCACTATCAGCAGTACCCAATTCTGAAGCATACCTAAGCATACCTAAGCATACCCATATAGTCAAAAAATGGACGGTTCTCGATATCCATGGCATGTTGTTACATTGTTGTTCAGTTCATGTCCTTGCACACATCTATTCTGAAGAACCATCGGTCTGAAAGGCTTGACGTGCCTCTGCCTTGATTTCAAGGATGATCTGATTGAGGATCCGCCAAGTACACTCAGAGCCTATGCGTTCAGCAGGAGGTGCAGTCGAATGGACTACCGAATTGAGACACAAGCATTGATGTTCTTAAAAATCAGCAATGATATGTCCGAAAACATGCTATCATGAACTATGATCGCTACACATTGCTGCCACATGCAACGCAGGTGTCATTTCAAACATCATGAATAAGTTTCCAAGTGTTTCATGCATTAATAGCTCCAACTCAACGCTGCCAGCCCCAGCTAAATGACTTCCAGCCTAGAACCACGTTTGTGGCAAACCTCGGGCAGTCCATGAACACACTTGCAAACAATCTCAGATCCAGCAAATAGAAATATTCAGAAAATGATAAAGCCTGTCCTGCCAACTAAATCTGACTGGTCAGTATGTGTTGTTTAACATTGAAAGCGCAGTTCCGAGTTTGCCGCCGTTCTTGTTCTACCTGTTCTCCATTGTTCTCCTATCTCCGAGATTTTTCTCAGCTTGGGACTCGATCTCATTTCCCACTGTCCACCATAGGATGGCTGATGAGTTCCTGGACAAACATGAACCAAGACGTGTCGAATTTTGATGACCGTCCGTGATTTGACGCGATTTTTCTGTAAGGGACACATCGTAATATCAGTTTAATCGCAAGACCACGGCCACATGGCCATGGCTGCAAGCTGCTGCGCAATGCATTGCACGTGCCCTCACTGTGGTTTGAGAATGAAGAAACCCTTACGTACCTTCAAAATTTACTACTAGACTCAATAGAGGTGTATCTAGGTGGGGTGAATGACCCTTCTCAACATTTCGCAACAGAGTCAATGGGCCTTTAGGTCATCCCAGAGACCTCTGAGTATCCCAGCTTGAAGGCTCGCACTCCGTCCAAGATCCTCTCCAGCTCTTTCTGCCAATATGGGTCCTGCTGAGAATGCAACGGAAAGATCGCAGTCACTTGCCGTTGTTTGCCATGCATTTCTTTCACTCTTTGCACAATCAACATCAATCAACTGCCTCAATCTGAAGATTGATGGGGCCCGGCTTGAAAACGAGATGACCCTTTGTTTGCTTTTGCGCGCACAGAAAGTGCAAAGAAAATAGAGAATCCTTAAAGCTCGACGACCCTGGAACTTGTACCTCGCGGATGTCGCCACTGCAATTCCTTGGATCTCAGTGCTCGAACATGCCGACATGACATATGATTTCACCGCGAAAAGATATGAATCGTTCAGTGTAGAAGGTCTCCTGTGGAAAAATATGTCCATTGCATGACCTTTGGACCAAATTCAGCCAAGGATCTCATAGGCCTCCTCATCATGAGTCAGCCAAATGCCCGCAGAGTACTTAAGGCCCAGTGCTTCTGCTTCTGGCGACACATCGGGGATCACTCTTCGCCCAAGGCCCAAAAGCTCCTATTGCCACATCCCAGTGGATCACTTAGCTTAGTTACTAAGTTCACCTTCCTGCAATGTTGTTGAGATTCGTTTTGTGGCTTTCTTGCCAGCCACTTCATGAAGGGCCGGTTCACTAAAATCACTGTCATTGATCTTTGACAAATGCCACTTTTCCGAAGATCCAACATGCGACGAAGGGCGCTGAACAAATGCAGCGCAGAGGTTCAGAGAAGCTTCCATGCTCCGTGCTTGGGAGGGCAGCTGTCCCAGCCTTCAATCGTGTCATTCAGCTGGTCGAAGCCCCATGTCCTGGCAGGGCAGAAGATTAGAATGCTCAGAATACATTATGTTTGGATTCCACTCTGGCAGTCTTAGGTAAGACAGAATAGATGAATACTAAACATGTCATCAAATATTATTCAAAATACAAAAAAGAAGCAGAAATCATATATGCCAATGCCAAGGATAGCAGAAAAAACAAAACAAGGGCAGGGTGTAACCAGTGTTTTTTGCAACTGTTGCACGGGAAGGTGTTTTTTGTGCAGGTTGCCGCCTGTTATTTTTGCTAGGTTGCGAGAATTTGGGAGAGGTGCTTCTTGCTGCTGTGTTCTCTGCAACGGGTTCTTCTGCGGCAATCAGCGGAGGTTTTTGCATGGGTTGGGGCAGCGGTGCTGCTGATGCTGATGGTGCTGGTGGTCCGCAACCTTGCGGGGGAGGCGCGCGCGCGCCCCTCCAACTATATAAATCATATCCTACTGGGCCTCATCAGAACAACAACCGGCCCACTACCTAACGGTCAGCACGACACGCAACAGGCGCAACAGGAACAGTAGGAACAAACCCTCTACCTACTACCCACTACCCACCACCTACTACCTACGACCTACAACGTCCGACCTACCACCTACGGCCTGCGACCTACTACCTGCGAGATGCTGGATTCTAGATACCACCACCCCCGCCGCCGCCACCGCTGCCGCCGCCACCACCGCTACCACTACCGCCACCAGCAAGCCATTGCAAAAAAACACCAGCCAAAAACGTTGCAAGAAATGTTGCAAAAAATATCGGGGAACCGCTGCAACAACAAAAAAACACCGCTGTTGCAAGAAACACCGGGGACCCATTGCAAAAAAGCCGTTGTGAAAATCACTCGTGCGGGCTGGAAAAACACTACTGTCTGGAAATACATTGTTGCAAAAAAACACCAGTCCCGGAAAAAAAAAATCGCGAAAATCGAGTGGAGTTCAAGACATCCAAGCGAGTCCTGACAGCTTCGGCACCTGCAGCCTTCGCAGCGCTAAGGTGCCTTGGCAGTCCGTCCGGCCATGACATGAGATCTATATCCAACTGTTCCAATTTGCTTTAAATGTCCTTCTCTCAGGAGATTGAGCTGTTGCAGCTGCACTGGCCGCTTCGCCATCTCAGGGCTTGGCGTATAGCCGCCAGCGCCACGCAGAGTGCCCTCATCTCCCAGGATTCCTGGAGGTGGCTATCACTGGATTCTGAAAGCTGACCGAAAGGATCTGATACTCGCAGAACAAAATGAGAGCGCTACAGTCTTTGAATCTAAGGCGATCTAGGCTGTTTTTGTGAAAAATAACGATACGTCTAAGAGTGTAACACTCCCAGTGACCATACCCTAGGCCACCTGCACAGACCAAACTATGTTGAGACAAGATGTCGGAGCTGTTCAAGCAAAAAAGGGAAGTCACGAGGACATGAAGCTGCGTCAGAGACCAGAGTGGAAATTCTCTGTTCTGCCTTTGATGAAGAGCCATCTAAGAGTGCCCTTAGTCCCCCTGCGCCCCCAGCAGTCCAAGATCAGATGAAACCTGCATGGTGCACATTTAACACAGTAAGAGCTTTCCCAAAAGAATCTCGGAGACGACGACAAGAGTTTGAAAGCGGCAAGAAACCATCACCAAACATTAGAGCCACCAAATCGACAAATTGACCAAAGCCGTCCACACCATACATACAGAGGTTGCTTTGATTTTTTTTCAAGCAATTTGCTAACAATGAAGTCACCAGTCAGGCATACCGAGGCTGTTCGCCTGCCAGATATCGCCACTCTGTTGCAGGAAGATATGCTCTGCAGCTGCCGTGACCAGCGCCAGGGCAGTCAGTCCTTCGGTGGATCCCAAACATCAGCAAATACCAGTTGTAAATGAACAGAACGAGAATGGACTTACAGTGTACTTATACAGTGCAGTCTGCAGTATGTTCTTATTTCTAGTATATAGTGATATATAGTGTGTGTACTTCTCTTCCAAGACAGCCTCTATTTGGAAGGGAGCGTTGATGCCACAAGTCAAAGCTTTGCTCATTGCGAATGTTAATCCTAAAGTGACCCATCTTGACCCATCGATCTACGAAGCCCAGAAAAATCCTGGCAGGAGCGACATCTGTGCGAAACACAGAGCTGCAAAAGTTATTGTCTACCCTCTTGATCTTTGGCTGCTTTGGCTGCTCTGTTGATGTTGCTTTCCTGGCTTCCAAGCTTCATCGATTCGGCTTGTTTCAGCTTTCAATGCTCTCTTGACAGTGTCTATCCTTCATGTGCTGCGTTCTTTGGAAGCTTGATCAGGCGTCCCAACACAAGGCCTCTTCAATCCTCTTCACCTGAAAAAAAACATAAAAATCCCACCAACGCAGTAAATTATATTGGATTACCCGGTAGATTACCCTAGACTCGACTCCAGCGCCTTGGTCTGTCAGGAATCCATGACGAATTGCCGAAATGACTTACTTCGGTAATCTTCGATACATTTGCTTCAACATTTTTTTGTCTGCATTTCACAGGTTTCAGCTTGGCTCTCGTAATGCGTGGTACACGGCAAGGCCATTTCAGCCTCATGGCACAATTTATACAGCTTGAGCCAAGCTCAGTGAAACAATGGAGGGTGCTCTTGTGGTTCTACGTCAAGGGATCAGCTAACACAAAGGACGGCGACCTATTCTAAGTCTGCTTGATGGATCTAAGATGATCTAAGTCTAAGCCTTTCAGGTGGGATTGTTTTCTGGTTGAAGAGGTAGAAGCGAAAGAACTCCCTTTGACATCGCCATCTTGAAAAATCAAACACCCTCCAGGCCTCCAGGGATCTCCAGCTGTGCAATATGCAATATTAGCGCTGGCAAAAATCGAGAGCTATCCTTGCCATGTTCCCATGGTCTATCGATGTCTTGCCAAACTGAAGCAAAAGGGATCGGAGTTTCCGACCATTTACAGCTCTGCCACCAGCAACCAACAGGCTTTGTATTGTTTCAATTGTTTCCTCAAATTACAGGAGCAATATGGAGCAATTTTGCTGAAGTGCAACATTCATGCCAGCCTTTTGAAACCCGTGACTGAAATCCACTGCTGACAGGTGTCGTCTACAAATCCTTCCACTTAGAATTGGAGTTTGTATAGCTGGCATAGACGGGCGAACCCGAGGTCTCGCTAGGTAGGAACTGGCTAACTGTGGCTTGAGCATGAGTCCATTCGCGCCAAAAATCGGCGCGACTCCCATTGAAGATCTGCAGATCTTTGCCTTTCAGTGTGAAATTGAAAAATAAGTACAGTATGCTTTGGTTGATGCAGATCTAAAGAGATCTAAACTCTAGACTCTAGGCCTTCTATGCTTTGGCTTGTAATCCGATTAGGTTCTGGCGACATGGCAGATCTGCTCGACCTACTCAGAATCTACTCATTCAAATCCCACCCTTGGACTGGCCCTGGATGCCAAGAAGTCAACCTAATCTTCATCAAATTCGCCTTGGGTTTCTCGTTGTAAAGCCTCCTCCCTCAACTCTTTCAACAGAGAATGCATGTGAGCAAATTCAGAGTTCATCTTGTCCTTAGCCAGGCTCAACAAGCTGTCTCTCGACTGAGACTGGTGCGACTGGCCATCGCAAAAACAGGTGAAACATCATTGCTGACAAAAATATAAAGAGGAGTCCAGCGGAAGGGAAGCAATATGAAGCAATGATGCATTCTCAATGAAATGATGGAAAAAGCACCCCTTCTTTTTAGCTCAGGCTCCACAATCACAAACTGCGAGGTCTTGACCAGGGACTTCATGATGCGAAGCTGCTCCTTGACATCCTGACACAGCTTTGACACAGCTTCGCAGCGCAACTTCCGAAATGGAGGCAAACCTGGCTTTGTGTTAGCTGCTAGAGAAAATCAGAAACCCAGTCCTTCACAGTAGCAGGGTTGTTCCCTCTCATGTTGAGAATCAAATCCATGGCTGCTGCAAAGTCCAAGCCATCTTTGCCATTTTTGCCTCGGCAATGCATGTAAGGACCGTAACGACATTGTTGAAGGACATGATTAGATGATTATTGAGGGATTTTCAAGATCTTTCAAGCACAAAGTGCAGCAATCATCAACAATCATCGTACACCTCGCCCAGTTGCTGACATCTTCGTAGACCATATCCAAGCTGTCCACAAGAGCAATGACATCAACACCTTCTCCAGCCAAAATCAAGGCAATGTCGGGTTCCAGAAGCAGTTTCTGGAACTCGAACTGGGAAATCGGCTCATCGGGATTACAACTTAACTGCTCCATCTTGTCTCGAAACTCATGAGCCAAGTAGGAAATTGTGATGCCCTCTTTCCTTAGAAAAAGCTGAGCCAACGGCAGAGCATCCTGGACAACTGGACAAGAGCTTCCTCTCTAAACAAAAATGATAGAATTCAAATATATAGATTCAAACAGATTCAAATGGTGCATCTCCAGGCTTCTCTGTTTGAGAGGTCACGCGCATCACATCAACTAAAACCCCGACAAGCATGTACATGATGGTGATGGATACGAAAAAGAAGAAGAAGACGATCACAGGCCACATCCAAGCACCCACAGTGCTGGTGGCATCAACAAGGTCTCGCTGCGACGGAATGATTCCGTACAGTAGCAGATTGTTCACAGCTTGTGGAACGTTGCTGAAATATTGCGTCCCAACACCATATCCTACTGTCACTTGCCGCAGGATCAGGGCAAAGACGTAGACCACCATAGACCAAAAGAGGAAGAAGACCAGAACCTGTTGCTGCCAATGCACACTGAGACGCTACCCACACTGAAGCTGTGCTCAATCCAACATCTTCATCAGGACATACAATGCATGAGACAAAAGAACTGAACATATGAGTCTTTATGGACATGCCAAAGGTAACCAAAGGTGGTCCGATGCCGACTGCTAGAAAATTGCATGCAGGCTACAGAGCGTGAGGCGTACTTGATGCCCTTCATGATGATGGTCAGCTCAGGCACCGCATGCAAGAGCTTCGCCATGCGTGACAAACGGAGTAACTTCACCATGCGGAACATTCCTCAGTTGGTCAAGGCATCTCAGATCATCTCAGGCACCTGCATACTGACTCAGTGCAGAAGTGTGTGAGGTTCCACTAATCACTAATCGCAAATAGGAGCGTTGAGGTTACATCCAGCCACAACGACACCTTCATGTTGGAGATATGAACTAGAACGACATGAAGGATCAATTTCTCTCCAAAGTTATAGGTCCTATAGGATCCTATAGGTAGGAAACTTATCCAGTTCAAGCTGTTTTGATCTTGCATTGTCAATGACCTTCACTTTTTCACCTTTGTGCAGTGCACGAAGATTGCAGAGGAGGCACTCAAAGTGGACAGGTCCAAAGCATTGTCCAGATCAATGTTAAAGCTGACAACGATGATGGGGGCAATCCAAGTCTCCAACACCATGAAGAAGACCTTAAGATCAATTCAACCATCTGATTTGTCAGCTCTTGCAGTCATCTCATGTCATTTCGTGTCATCTCAACAACAAAATACAACGCAGAAAACGCACATGGGGGGAGCCCTTTCTGGAGCTGCAATGAGCTACGAGTAGTGCTACAAGTATGCCAAGATGCTAAAAGGGAGTCGAAGACAAACCACCGGTCCCGCAGGCAGCGACTCTTCTCTTCAAAGGCCATGAAGCGAATGAAAACTTCCGAAACGAAATAAGTGCAGAACAAATTTTCCACCACGATGAAGACTGGGGGAGCGTCGGTGATCAACGCTGCACCATTGAGATCTGCATCCACAGCGATCCACATAGCATTCAGGCAAACCACTGTGAGGCTCAGGTAATCAAAAACCGTGCTCTTCGCAACTCTCTGGAAAACGCCTTCCTCATGGTAGTAGTCAAAAACATTGTACGGCGGCTTGATCAAGGCCTGCCTGGCTTTCTGCTTTAGTTGGTCTGGATCGTTGAATCCACGGGTACGGGATGAAGCAAGCTTTGCTGACCCTTCCTTGGCCTTCAACTCCGTTTTCTGAACCTTTAACTTTGATCCCCTCGGCTGTGGCTTCTCTTTCTTCTTCTCCGAACCCTGCATTTTGGGATCTGTTTGAACCATCTTCTCCTGTTGCTCAATGGCATCTGTCTGCGAGAAGAATTCTCTGACGCGAACTCGCTTGGGTGCATTCTTTTCTGTGTTCCGTCCTCTCATCAAATCGAAGGCTGTTGAGACAACAGCGGCCGACTGCCCCATTGGCCAGGAGTCATCACCATCATCTGTGCGGACAAAGTCTAGATTCCTTCCAGGTGGCTGGGGAAGATTCAATCCTTTGGCTTCCCCCTGTCATAAAATATTGTAAATCCAATAAATAGGTTCTTCAATTCTGAAACAAACGGGTAAGTTTGTGAAGAAACATCCTTAGAGGCCTAGAAAGAAAGGAAAATGGCAGATTGAAATATTGTCAAAGTTTGACCTGTCCAAGTATCATGGCTTGCTGAATCTTCCCGATCTCATTGAGCACCGAATTATTGTTGGATCCAAGCCGATCCTGAACAAGAATCAAGGGATGTGCTGCTGGACCAAACTTTGACTTTGACATATCCTGCGATGGGTTATAAATTATAAATCAAATTAAAAACATCATAGCTTTCATCATCCTGACAGTGTTGAGGCTCGACACCATTGCAGGCCAAGGTGCAAAAATCTGGCGCAAATCATCTCTAATAGCTGCAGTGTTGCCCTCAACTGGTTGCATCGTGGAGTTCAAATGAGCGGCCAACCTGGGCGCAAGGGGCATCTGATATCATCTGATCACGATCACCTCACAGGTGTTCCAAACAACTTTCATGATTTCCAATGGTTCGCAATCTGTATCACTACCAGTAGTACTCAATGTTTCTCAATGTTTTCCAAGTTGCTGAAGTGCACTTTGCGAGTTTCCATCATGCAATTCCCTGAGCTGCTCCTCAGTGTACTGCTCGTATGAGAAAAGCTTCGTTTCCATTCGGCATGAGGTTCGCATGAAACTGCGACCCAGCTGGTGTACGAAATATGTCATGTTTCACATATGAGCCCATATGCAAGTATGGTCCCTGCCTGCACTGTTCAAATCAAGATGACCCATGCTCCCACGCTCGCATCGAATCACTGGATTGGTTTAACCTCTGTATACATACGTAGTACAGTAGATCGTAGTATGTTTGATGGGAAAATGATGGAAAATAAAAGTAGCCTGGTTTCCTGGATAGTTCGCCAAAAAATTCAAATTCTCCTGATCCAGGAGCCAAGGCTCTGAAAGCTGCTTCTGGCTTGCTTCAACGGAGTGAGAAACTTCCGACAGCTTCTCTTCTGACTTTTGCACCCTTTCCTCAGCAACAACGACAACCTTGGGGCTTAGATGTGGGGTACAAAAAACAACGACAACCTTGGGGCTTAGATGTGGGGTACAAAACAGCCCCACAAAGGGCTGATAATATTTTTCGAGAACACTCAACTTTGGGGGTTGATCATTTTAAGCCATACCAAACCATAGAAGCCTCACAACTTGTGACTATGTTTATGTGGCCCTGGCCTCCCGGAAAAGGAGTCTGGACATGTCAACGAATAATATAATTCTGCCGAATTTCAGTGAGGCCTCGAATTTTGGCCTCCTCTTCTTCTGCTTTGCTCGCCAACTTGTCCAACCTGTGTTTGCTTCGCAAAAGCATTCTACAAACAAAGTCATGCGACTTGTTGGTGATACGTGCACCTGTAAAAAGCTGAACCAAAGCATCCTCCTACTCCTGAATTGTTGGTTGTTAAATGTTGTTAATACTTCTAGCCCTAAACACGAGTTCTAAAATAACACTGACAAGCACACCGCAGTGGAACTGCTGCAGATTGAGAGAAAACCAACTTTCCTTGCTAATTCTACTGCATGTGCTCAGTTTCAAATCCCTAGATTGAGTTTATGTCCAGATCTTCGCAGAAAGACACTATATATATATATATAACTGGCGCACATCGAACTGCGAAGGGTGCTCGTGTATCGTGCGATCAACCAAGAACTCTCAACTCTCAACCCATCGCGGGGCACACGAAACACAGCAGGCGCACATCAAAAGCATCGGCCATCAGAAGAGTAGAACCACTTCTGATGATAACATGGACGACAACCCGTCCTGCATGTGCAGGGAACCCGCAGAAACAGCTTAGCTATGCAGGCAAGTCGCGCATTGCTGAGCAGCAAAAAGCTTTCCTCGAAGCGTTGAGACATTTGCCGCGAGCTTTCCGCGTGCAGTGTCTCGTTGGATCGAATCTCATCCAGAAGCCTTGACTGCTCATCTTCCGGTTTTGGACAGGTAAATGTTCAAGTCCCAAGAACAAAAACTGGATCTATAATATTCCCCATGACTGCATTTCCCTCACTCTCCTATGCCACGGGGCTAAGGATCTAAATCGAAAAAGAACGCAAGCAAAAAAACTCTCAAAGGCAGGTGTGGCACGGGGTGAAGTCGAACTTGCTGAAATCAACATATCCAGCTTGTGCCCAGCCAACTACTGCTTCCATCTTTCCATCCAGTTCTGCCAGTTTCTCGTTGCTGGACTTCTCTCTGTGTTCTAGCATCTCCTTGCAAGGAGAGGTGGCTCCCATTTGAATGTTACCTTTGCATACCTTTGCAACCCCACCTCTGCCACCTCTTTGCTTGTCGTTTTTGCACTTCAAAACCGAAAGGGCGAATGACCCGAATGACCCACAGACTCGATGCTGAATGCCGAGTTTCCGCCACATCTTTTCGCAAAGCAGTGGCGCTTTGATCTACCTCGAGGCGAACCTCTGCCAAGATTTCATCACTCATGCTGCCTGGCAGCACAGTGGCACAGCATTTGATGGTGTTTGAGTGAATGCCCCAAAGGAGTGGGTGGCTCAAAATTCCAGCAGTCTTTTCCAATGATGTAAATTCCATTGAACAAGGACCCGCGTTTCCTTTAACACTCAGGCAGTCAGCACAGGAGCCAAATTTCAGGACCCAATAAAACATCTTGAGGGGAGTGAAAAGTATGGCATTTTTCTCAAAAGAGGTCAGGGTGCTCATCTTGTTGGCAAAGCCTTTTTTGCAAATCTCCAGTACGTCGTGCCAGGCATTGTTGCGCTGACCACGAGGGGATACTTGAGATTCCTTTGAAGGCCCTGTGAGCAGCGAATTCTCCAGTTTAGCATCCATGTTGCGAGATGGATCAACGCGTGTGAGGCTCTGTTCTGAACTAAGACTGTCTACACCATGTTGCTTGCAACAGCAGGACACTAAGCAATAAGCTAAAAACATCACATGTCATTTGTGGTTGTCTGAAATGCACCTTTTAACTACATGGCACATGTCACATGATTAACATGTTGATATCTTGTCACTTTTTTGGTCCTTGACTGCATCTGCACACGTCCGCAATTGTGTGGTGCCATTGAGTCTTGATTTGTTCAGGGATTGCAATGGTCTTCTCTTGGACCGATTGGAGGCTTTCAGACCAGATCAAACTGCAGAGAAATGACCCAATTCTACTGTAGAAGTAAGCAATGGTAACTAACTATGCTGCAATTCCATGCAATTCCTGGGTCTAGTCATGTTCAACACGCGGGCGGACCCCAGTGCTTTAGACGACAGACAAACTTTGACAACAAATAGCCAAGAGGGACCCGAGCAAAGATCGAGAGCTCAAAGCCTGGCAGTTTGAAGGAATGTGTGCAAGCACAAATGCAAGAGATTTATCTATATTACTGTACTCTTTTGGCCAGAAACAATAGGACTGAAACCTGCAGAAAGTTTGACAGAGTGAAAGCTTGGACCTAGCATTTGGAGACTGACCGTCTCTGTGTGTTTGCAAACGCAACACTCCATTTAAGATCGGAGTTTCACAAAAGGAATGAAGGAACCCTTCACGGCACCAAATATTCTGTTTGATGAAAAGGGGTGGACGGAATTTGGCCCCGCCTCTGCCAAGTCTCCTGACATCAAATTTGGCAGAAGCCAACCAAAGACACTGCCAAGATGCAGCGGGTTGCACCTCTTGGACAAGATCCACTTGCGAAGAGATGTTTGAAACTTCACAGTAAGGGACAGACCTGCAGGATTTACAAAGTCTCTCGGGCTCCCTCAGAACCCTCTCCTTCTCGACTGAAGAGCAGCTGCGCTAAGGGCACTGCAGTTACAGCCTGAGGAGGAAAAAATCACATGATGATGTCAATCCAGAAGATGTTGTACACCGGTGGTTGCACGGGAACGGGATACCAAAAATTAGCATGCACAAAGCCTGGCCGGAAGTCCAGAAGCTGTGTCCGAATTGGCCCTTACCGAACCATGAGATATGCCTAGACTAGGCGTACAAGTACCTCATGACCCTGCTAGGATTTTCTGGATCCACCGTGTTCTCGGATGTCTTTCTCTCCATGAACGGGGTGCTGGCAACAAGAATCCAATCAAAAAATACAAGAAGGATTTGAGTTGAATTTTCGTTACCAGCAGGCTGTGCATCCTGCTTGAGCACTTCACGAGGTGCATTTTAGATGTCAACCTAAGGCTAGTCAACACCTGATGTTTGACTGTCCTTCTGAAGCCTTCTGACTAGAAAAATTGACCTGGCCCAAATTCCCAAATGGACTCCAACCTAAGGCTGAGGCAGCAATGCTTCGAATCGTAGCGCCCTTTTGCTGAGTCAGCCTTCAAGGGCAAGTAACGCCATGCTGCCCATCCTTGATGCAACTTGATGCGAGAACTCAAAATCAAACAAGATCCCAAAAAGGAACAAATTTCAAATCAAAATGACCCTTGAGGAGTCTTCTCTAGATTGTCCACTAGAGGACAAGAGCTCAACAAATGGGACATCTCGGTCTGGCGACACCCTCAAATTCACGGCCGTCTGCCTCAAACAGAGGAATGTCTGAATGGCGTAGAGCATGACCTTGGTTTAACACACTGACATCCCCAAGAGTTTGGAGGATCACCCTGTGGTCCCCAACATGAGCAGTGGATAGTAGAACTCAACCCCATTGAAAATCCAGCAAATAATGGTTGATTAAGTTGATTCGTAGTTCATGGATTATGATAATCCCAATAATCCCCAATAGATACAGGGTAGGTGAATAACATTGTAATAACCCTAGGCCCTGGACTATTCTAACTATACACCAGAGGGGTAGTACAACAACTGATTCCACAGCACCAAGCGACGCTGATCAAAGTGGTCGGAGCGGCCCGGGCGCAGCCTAGGTCGCCTTCACGAGGTGTGTAGCCGCCTCAGCCAGGAAAGATACTGTCATTGAGATCCCTGAAAAAATCAAAATATAGTATCAAGATTGTATCAAGCACCAAGGATAAAATATAGTGAAGCCACAATTAAGCATATCGAAGCATGCTCCTTGGTACAAGGAACCCACCGGGCCCCCTTGCAAAAGCAGAAGAAACCATCGCGCAAGTCTGCGGCCAAGCCTGATTAAAATGATTACCACTGTGAATCAAGACGGATTTTTGACAAAAGAACAAAGTGCTTCTGTGGATGTGCATTGTGTCTTGCATTGTGTCTCCAGCTGGGTACGGTTACACGCAAACAGAGAGGGACAAGACACATCAGGAACTTGATGACGATGATGATGGTGCCTTTTAGCTTAGCAAAGCCAAAATTGCGTTGCAAAAACTGATAATGTTCGACCTATACCCCACCCATAAACCCCCTCCCACAACCACTCCTTCGCCAGAGCGCCTCAGCAGTTCAACTACATCTTTGCAAGTTAAGTCAAGCAAACTCGAAAACCTTCACTATCGAAAACGGACAGAGGATGCAATCTCCTGCAAAACGCAGTGACTTTTATCATATATATATATATACACATATATAATTGTTATATATATATATCATAGTACTTATATATATATTATATTATAGATAATACATTATATATATTATATTATAGATACTACATTATATATATATATATCATACATATTATATATATATTATACATTATATTTTCAATACTATATATTATATATTATATAAATTAAAAATTATATATATTATATTATCTATTACATATATCATATATATTAGATTATACACATATATAATACAATATATTGTATCACATATTATATATACATTATAACATTTATATTATATATACATATTATGATATTATGTATAAATTATATATTACAGTACATCATATCTTATATACATTATGTATACATATATATATATATTATATATAATGTATATAAGATCTATAATATATTGTATATGATATATATATAATATGGTATAATATGTAAATATATTGCATTATATTATATATATTGTATTATATTTTATATATAGATATGATATATATGATATATGTTATATATTCTATATTATATATTATATATTATATTTTTTATTATATATTATATATTATATATTATATATATGTCATAATATATATAATAGACATTTTATCTATTATATATTTAATGTATATATTATAGATATATTATGTATATTATATCATATGTATATTTTTTTATGATATTATTTTATATTATTATCAAATTATTTTATATTGTACTATATTATATTGTGTCATATTATTATATCATAGAGTATTATATATTATAGATTATAGATTATGTTATGTATATTAATTTGTTCAAATGCATTATACATTTTATATAGTATACATAATATATATAATACACTTTATTTATATTATTTTATATATATTATATATTGTATAAATGTATTACATATATCATATAGTATATTTAATATAGTGTATGATATATGTATATATATTATAGGTATTGTACATATTGTGTAATGTATATAATATATACATATCATAATATATTTCAAAAAATAAATTACTTTACTTCGTGTGATCCCCACCATGACATTTATACATTTTCTTACTGGCAAATCTTCTGGCATTCTATCTGACATATCTTCTGACATTCTATTTGGCATTCTATCTGGCATATCTTCTGGCATATGATTTTGCATATCTTCTGGCATATCTTCTGGCATTCTATCTGGCAAATCTTCTGGCATTCTATCTGGCATATCTTCTGGCATATATTCTGACATATCTTCTGGCATTCTATCTGACATATCTTCTGGCATATATTCTGACATATCTTCTGGCATATCTTCTGGCATATCTTCTGGCATATCTTCTGGCATATCTATCTGGCATTCTTCTGGCATATTTTCTGGCATTCTATCTGGCAAATCTTCTGGCATTCTATCTGGCATATCTTCTGGCATATTATCTGGCATTCTATCTGGCATATCTTCTGTCATATCTTCTGGCATATCTTCTGACATTCTTTCTGACATTCTTTCTAACTTTCTTCTGCACATTCTTTGTCCCATATCTTCCTACATGAGGTCCGGCAGGGAACACTTGGCGTGGATACTCGCGGTTGAGGTCCGGCAGGGAATACTGGGCGTGGATGGTCGTGGTTGAGGTCCGGCAGGGAACACTGGGCGGGGATGGTCGTGGTTGAGGTCCGGCAGGGAACACTGGGCGTGGATGGTCGTGGTTGAGGTCCGGCAGGGAACATTGGGCGTGGATGGTCGTGGTTGAGGTCCGGCAGGGAATACTGGGCGTGGATGGTCGTGGTTGAGGTCCGGCAGAGAACACTGTGGATCGCGGGTCGCAGTTGAGCAAGGACGACGAGGACGACGAGGACGACGAGGACGACGAGGAGGACGAGGAGGAGGAGGAGGAGGAGCAGGAGGAGGAGGAGGAGCAGGAGGAGAAGGAGGAGGAGGAGGCAACTGACATAAAATCTAACAACCCTCACCTGGCAGGTGGGGAATTATGATGTATGTGTATATTTATATATTATGATGTAAAATATATATTATATATTATATATTATATATTATATTATATATATATTATATATTCTATATATGATATATATAATATATATTATATATTATATATATATTATATATTATATTTTATATTATATATATATTATATATATATATATATATTATATATATGATATATTATATATAATATATTATATATATTATATATATTAGATTATATATATATTAGATTATATAATCATATATTAAATATTATATATAATATTATATTATATATTACATTATATATTATATTATATATATAATATAATTTATATATATATTACATTTATATAATATTATACTATATTAT